AAGATGGTTATTCTGAGCAAAAGTGTTCTTTTCATCAGTGTTAAACTTGAATTTATCACCACAATCCTAACCCTTTTAGAAATTTGAAACAAACAGATGTTGGTCCAAAGCAAAGCTTAAAAAGTCAGGACCTCGGGACGGTTTCTTTGTGTTGAAATGTTTTGTCTTCCATCCAAAAGACTTCATCAGTCCGAGGAGCCGCAACAAACGTAGTCCCATAAGTACCGTACTTGCCGCTGTACAAGTCGCACCGCCGTATAAATCGCATCAGTCCAAATATATCTAATAAAGTGGAAACAAACATAAATAAGTTGCTTTGCTGTATTAGTCGCATCCATTATGCATCAACACTGACCACCTGGAAACGTGGGCTGGTGTTATACCAAAAATCGATTGGCTGCCAAATGGCGGCCGCGGGAACATGCCCAGGAGGACTTTAACAAGATTAGCGCATTTGTTTGTTCGACATTATAGCAAAAGGTGTGTCTCAGTAACTTTCCTTAATAAATGCACTATCTTGGTCAAATCAGCTGCATTTCGCCTGGGCGGCACAGTGAAATGCAGCTGATATGACGTTTGCTCCAGGCGTTCTGGAGCGAGATGAAGGTGGCTTGGTACGGCAAGCCAAGTGTCTCATTAATAGCCACTTTTCCCTATTGATGAGGCACTTGGCTTGCCATATTAGTCGAGGGCCCTCTAGCGGCTGAAGATGGTAGTGCTCAATATTTTCCATAGAATACAATAGAATAGAATAGAAACAGCCTTTATTGTCCCACGGATGGGAAATTCAAGTGCAACAGCAGCAACAGATGAAAAGATAAAAAGATTTCACACAAAAGTTCCTAAATGTTAATAAGCAATACAATATATAAGAAATAAGATAAACAATATCAATAATAATTTTCAATATGTATTGGAACATTGAGAATGGCAGACTATTTACAATACAGTGAGAATGTCCAGAACGAATGTTCCATGTCAGAATGAATGAAATTGTCAGATCTCAGCAAAAAATTGAGTTATAAATATGGGGAAAAAACACATATATTAGTCGCTTCGGTGTATAAGTCACAGGACTTGCAAATTTATGCAACAATGTGCGATTTATACAGCAAAAAAATACAGTAGCACAATCCCATAGTGGGCCAAACAGTTTGCTGGTGATAAGATGGTTTCTTGAGTCTGCCCTCTCAGCCGTCAACTCGTCTGAGGCAGCCATGGCCAAAGTGGTTCAAAACATCAAAGTTCATGCTCAGCAATCCAGGTAAAAAAGCCCACTATGTGAGTGTGCCACTTATGGGACTGTTTATTGTGGCTCCTCGAACTGATGAAGTTTTTTGGATGTAAGACGAAACGTTTCAACATAAAGAAACTGTCCAGACAACCTGACTTAACTTTGTTGGATTTTTTTTTACCTGGATTATTGATCTTGAACTTTGATCTAATCTTAAAGTGTTTTGAACAGTGCATTTTTCCTTCATTGAACTTTTTCTGATATGTAAATAATTTCCGAGTCTATTTTTTTAGAATTGTGCTGAAAGAATCGCTTATTTAAGAGGAGGCAATAGAAAGAAATTAGAAATAAACATCGATGAATTTTTGACAAAGTAAAAAAGAATGTGAAGAACGTCCTAACCAGAACACTGAAAAAACAACTTCTTTTCTCACCTCGTGCCATGATTCCTAAACCCTGGATGGCACTGGGATGCAGTGGAGTGGGTGGAATCATTATGAAAGCAGCGCAGGAGAAATGCAGAGAAATAAACGCAGTAAAGCTCTCCCATCAATCTGTGTGCCTCTGCCTCAACTGCTGAGCCAAGCCTTTGTGTGATAAATCAATTTCCATAAGAGGTTTATGAGAAAGACAGCCATGCTTATTGTTCTTATTAAAAACATGAATGTGAGAGATTCCATTCATCTGAGGTCACAGCCAGCTAATAGTTTCCTCAGGCTAGTTTGCAGGGGAGCCAGAGCTGGAAGGGTGATCCGTCTGTGGCAGGCCAGATATGTGAGTCAGGGGAGAGTAAGTAGCTGTGTCTTTTTAGTTGGCAGGTGTGTTTAGTCTTAGCCTTAGCCCCACGCTCGTGGCTGTGTTAGTCTGCCACGCCAAGGAAAGATTGGTGTTGCGCTGTTCAGGAATCAAAGAGATGGATTTCTTGTAATAGTAAATTGCTGCTTTTGGGGGTTGTGCCACTTTGGTGGTTTAAGTTTTAATCAGAAAAGACTGCCAGCAAGTGCAGATTTATGTATGTTTTAGGTGTCACTTGGGATGAAACCAATAACGCTAAGAAAATGGGAGGATTTCCCATGTGAATGTGATTAGTTTAGATAATAACAACAAATGAACGACTGGTTTATGGTCTAAAATGTTATTTGTTCCCAATTTTTAGACAAATATAGTGGTGCAATTTCTGCTGTCCAAACAGACGTTTTTTTACTTTATACATTTCAAGTCTTGTCTTAAAGGTTTTTTTTTTTTTTCCTTCACGTTATCCCACATTTACTTCTTCACAAACACACTTATCAGCAGGGGAGATATGAGGATTCTTGCTCAACTTTCTGTAAAAAGCATTCAAACATTTTCTCAGAAGAAAATGCGCTAAAATATTTTACGTGAATTCACCCTGAAAACTAGATAAAACTGGAAACCTTTTTCTAGACAAAACTTGTTTCTGCTGACTTCCAGTTATTTAACGTTTCACTTTGCTGGCAGATTGTAAGGCAGGGTGTGTCAGGAGACTGTGATATTAGTGCCACCTATCACTCATCCCAAGTGTACTGAGATGCAGAATTCATTGTTATTAACTCTCCTCTCCAGTTCGGCTCCTGCTGTTGAATCAGGGTGGACTTAGGTGTGTATTATTGTGTGTATTGTGAGTTTGTGTGTTATGTCTTGAGCTTGTCTCTTTGGCTGGTCTGCTGCTTCATATTTAGGCTGGGGTGCAAGGTGGCTGGGGGTAGATGTGGCCAATCTATATATCTATTAGTGGTGATTTTAAAGGGGGTTTATTGTTCTTATTTCATTAACAGTGGCACTTGTTAAACTGCATCTATAAAAATAATAATTGCATGCTTCATTAATCAATTGATTGAATTGCCCTAGTGGTGTGAAACCGTTTTTTTTTTCCTGCATGCCTATACTACACACGTGTCAAATTCAAGGCCCGGGGGCCAGATGTGGCCCTCGTTGACATCTTATCTGGCCCCAAGATGATATTTTAAACGTAAAATACTTTTATCACTTTATTTTTTCAGTGATCTTTGATTATAATGTCAAAAGTGCAACAGAGAACATCAAATGAGACCAATCGAACTCTTGTTGAGGAACCTGCGACCAAGAAAAGATGTTGGGCATCTAACTAGAGTTAATGTAGATTCTGAAACTGGCCCTTACTTTGAAAAAGGTTGGAGACCCCTGCTATACTACCTTAGAAGAACATAAGTTATCGTAGTCATATTCTGCATACTAGGAACCCTGTATTGTCCAGTTCTTGTGCATTTTTTATCAACCATTTCTTTTTAAACCTATAAATCTTTATAGCAGTGTTAGTTTAGCAATTTTTTATCTATTAACCAAAAGTAACGTGTGTATCTTATGTTCTGAATAAACTCAGAGGTAGATGGAGAAAATGTTGAATGCGTTTTTGTTCCCTTTGTGCCAGGTTTACCAAGGATGATTGTGATCAAAGACTATGGCGGTATCCCCAGCCCCCAGTGCGGGCCCCCGCTAAGCATTCATGCAGGGGATATCATTGAGTTGATGTTTGCTGACCTGCAAAGCCCCTGGTGGCAGGTGTGTGCCATTCGGCTCATTTTTGTTTCATGTCCACATCTGTGACTTTATGAAAAAATAACATGTTGGTGCTAACCTGGTATGTGAGATACACGCAATATCTTTGCCATGTCACGAGTTTAAATCCGAGCTCCAAATCAAGAACAAAGCATACTCCATCTGAATCTGAACAGTCGACTTGCAGTCATGTGGTTGTGGGACGTTCACTTTCGCACTCACCTTTCTTAGTCCACGAGACACACGGCGCAGAACTCCTGCGAAACTCCTCCCGCTGCAGTATACGTCACCGCATGTGTTTCTTCCCACCAGAGTCTCCACTCCGTCCCTGCATCCACCGCTTGACCACAAATCTATCATAAAGAAAGTGCCACATTTTTCAGCCAACAGACTCCTCCATACACAATGTCTGCGCAATCTCCATCCATGAGTTTTGGGCCATTTGACTAATTTAGTGTTTGAAGAGTCGTACAACTGAATGTCCAAGTGCATTTCCACATTGACGAACATGCCCACTAATTTCTGACCAATTCCATAATACTTGGGGCATATGCCTGTAAGAAAAAGTTTGGCCTTGGCCTTGTGTCAAGACGGGGCGGGTGAAGCTGCTCTGGGAACAAAATGATGCAGTTTTTGTCACGCAACTACCGTACATCAATGAGAGCCAGATTTGTTGCTTCAAATGGAGTATGCATGGCCTTTTATCTGCAAAGTGCCTCATCTCCCGCTTTGTGACAAGGACAAAAAAAGCACAAATACAGTGATGTGAATCATATCCCTGTGATGATGTTGTTTTTAAGATAAACCGCAAAATGGGCAGTGGTTGTTCATCATATTCTGTCTGCTGTCAGAATGAGCAGCAGTATATTACAATGAGGTCGACCACAATTAGAAGATTTGTATCAACTCCACTGGACCCCAGTTACATTTCAGATGGGGTGTCTGTCCTGTCCTTCACTCTTTAGTTTGAATCTGAGCCAACATAAGATGATCTAACCAATTAGTGGCTTCAGTTGATTAATGGCATGCCACAGTGAAACAATAAAACACAAAACACTTCAGCCCCTGGCGGATAGTTTAATGGTGGTGCACAACCTCATGTCCTGGCACATTTAGCAACTCTCTCATGACATCGGGGTGTTTGACCTTATCTATTTTTGAAAGGATACTGTTATCTGGGGTCTTCCAGGAGCTTGCCTTGCTGTTTCTAACTCTACTTTATGGCAGCATTAAAGCCTCATCCTCCTTCTGGTGCTGCTCCAGTCAGATGCAGTCTTTGCCAACGGCACGGCTGGGAGTGGGCAGTTTGCCCAATTTCCATTTCTCAGTGTTTCTCTATTGTGACATGGCACAAGGTGGAGGGATGAGGACATGGTTGCCAGGAGAGTTCTTGTAGGCTGGCTGAATGACTACCAGAATGTCATGGCTTAGACCCACCACTGCATTGTTTGTTGTCATGGTAACAATCCATGCTGGAAGGGAATAGTCAGCGTAATAATGTGATGACACACATTTGTGTATCCATGCCTGCTGCATAATGATACTGTAAACAGCTTAACTAAAAGTTAGGGGTAGAGCAGTGCTTTGATAAACAGGTTCCCTCATTGTTTGCACTGCTTGTTCCACCAGGGCTCAAATAATGTGTGTGGTGGAGGGGTTGATAAAAAAAAACAAACAAAAAAAACCCATTTCTCAAGTCTCTTGTGAAAGCACGAAGCATCGCAGAAGCAGCAAGGCTGGCAAAAACATTAAAGTTGAGGTCTTCAGGTTAGTCAGTGCAATTCAATGTGTTGTATATTTTGATTGATACAGAATGAGTAACAAATTAAAACAATTTTTCACAAGAATATAGTATAATTTTCAGAAAAAAAAAATCTGACAAGTTTAACATTTAGTTTTTTGTTAAAGTTATTGGCTTTTGCAATTATTTGAAATCTTTATCATTGCTTAAATTTTTAGCAACCAAAGAAGGGAAGCGTGAAAACCACCAAAGCACAATGTTGGTTAGAAACAATGGAATTTACCTCACCAAAATGCATTGAAATGCACTATACTGCAAATGTGCGATGCTAGTGTTTAGATATTTTCAAATTGGTACATTAAAAAGTTGGTACTGATGAACAAAGTAAAGTTAAACATTTCAGTAAATACAGAGACAGGAATCCGAGGCAGCATAGTAAAACATGACAAGACCAGGAGCAAAAGGAGTGAACAGGAAATTCTGTCAAAAGCTAAAATATATACAAGGAGTAGTGAAGGACCCCAGATGTGCTGATTGCTAATGAAATGCAGGTGGTACATGAGGAGCTGGAAGCACAACAGCTGAGGACATGTGGTTTCATGACTGTAAAAACAACAGAACATAATTTAATTGAATAACAAAATGTTCCAAACCTATAATAAACACAAGCAACTCAAGCAACAAATAAAGCAACGATACCAAAGCAAACACACAAACCATGACAAATGTGTGAGTGATGAAGACTAATAAAATAAATGACGAATAAAGAATTTTCAACACCAACTATTTTGACTGACTAAACTCAGAATCACAAGTTTTCAAAATAAATAAATACATAAATAAAATAATAAAAAAGGTACCACTTTACAATAAGGCTCCCCTTAGAGATGCTAATAAATAGTTTATAGATACATTATTAATTCCTCTGTATACACTTTATAAATCATTAATAATTGTTTATTATACATTAATTAAGGGCAAGATGTTGCTGTTGTTGTTTGGCACATTGTTTTGTACTATTAGTGCTTAGTATATTCTTAATTTAGCGTATTTCTTAGTTCATATCTTAGTTCATATCTTAGATCTTGTTACTGTTTTTCTTTACAATTTGTATATTTATTGGATGTAACTGGGACCCTGTGTACACAATTTCGTTCCACCACATGTACCACATGTGGTGCAAATGACAATAAAGACACTTTGACCTTGACCTTGAAAGAGACCAAACTGACTAGTTTCTTGTCAAATATGGAGCCAAATCTATTAATGTATATATTTCATCTTGAGTTGTTATATTAAACATTTCAGACTAAGTTACTGTAAGCACAATAAGCATTTGTAGTAAACCAATTTTTTTTTAGGATATAATATTAGTTGTAAATACTTATAATTCAGTGATAAAGTACACTTTTATATGCTAAAAAATAGGTTTAAAAATGCTTGTTGCGCCTACAAGGTAGTAAGTTAGTCTGAAATGTTTAATATAACAACTCTAGATGAAATAGGGGAACAGATTTGTCTCACTATTTGGCAAGAAACCGGTCAGTTTTGTCTCTTTGTCACCCTTAATTAACACATAATAAGCAGTTATTAATGATTTATAAAGTGTTTATAGAGGAATAATAACATATCTATAAACAGTTATCATCTATAAGTGGAGCCTTATTGTAAAGTGGTACAAAAAAAGATGTGTACTTATATAAAGTTTTCCTTTTAGACAACTATCATTATTTTCACAGCTTAATTTTTCTGCCTCAAAATCTGTATTGTTTTAATACTTTCTGTTGCTAACAGTGATGCATATAATCTGTTGGTGGCACTAATCATCTGTCAATATTGCACATACTAATAATAATAATAATAATAAAAAAAGATGAAGAATTTGGTTTAAAGAAAATAGTTTCACTAAATGGCTCCAATTCAACAAGTTCGAGAAGTCTCGAAGTGACACCCAACATGATTTGGGGAGAAGCCCTGAATCTGAACAGAACCTTGTTTGTTTACAATGAAAAGTCCACAGGGTGCCTTTAATCTTTGGCGTCTCCAGTGGTGCCAGAGGATGGAATTACAGAACATTGAGAATTCATATCCCCTGTTACCCAGAAGGCAATTATCCCCCATCCCCCTGGCAGAACAATACAATCAATCACTGTAATTTCATTTGATCCTCTGGCTGCTGCCTGTTTATGCCAACAGAGTAATAAGTTTAATCTTTATCATACGCTTATCGAAAGCATAACAAATAGAGAAGGGCTCTCTAAAAACCTTTGATGAAATGTTATTACACAGAATGAATCACAGAGATGGGTAAAGATTCGCTTTCCAATCTAGTTACTGCCGGGGCTTGCATGGCTCCAAAAAGCATTTCATACTCTAATAAAGAGGACTGAGGAGAAAAACACAAACAGGGCAGGAAGCTGAATAGGGATTTTCCCTTGCCTTCACCACTTCTTGTCTTCTCAGGTTCACTCAATGAACTTCAAATTGACCTCAAACTCAAAGTTGTAAACTCAAATTATGTCAAACTTGGTATATTTTTTAATTGCTGTCTAAACGGCAGGGAGTTAAAGCCGTACAACATTAAGGGCTCCTTTGTATTCATGCTAGTGCAACTGGTTTTTACCAATTTGTTACGTTTAAAGACGAAAAGTTTGTTTGTTCAAAGATTCATTAATTTACATGTAAAGCCTGTGGATGCTTCCAGCAGGTTTCCTCAAAGGCAGTTGTTTGTCTTTAGCGTGAGCACACACTGTTTGGATATTAAAAGACCAGAATAAGATCCATTATTTAGTGTTAAACGGCGCCCTTGTTTTGATGCAGTACAAATCTAACTGCCGGCAGAGTTTGAACAATAATTAACTTGGGCTGCAATTTAGATGCACTGCTTGTTGTGCGCTAATTGCTGAGGATTTACTCAAGCAAGAGCGGGAGGGGAAAGAGAAAAGGAAGGGAAGGCAGAGAGGCAGAAGTGTGGCTGCTCCCAGACAAATATAATGCGATTAACACGCGGTTGCTATTGCAGGGCAAAATTGTGGCAACAAGCAAGACTGGCTTCTTTCCAAGTGATGCTGTGAGGCCTTGCCCATGTGTAAGTGTTCATGGTTATCCAAATCAATAAGACAGAATTTAGTGTGATTACAATGCATTCAGCAGATAATGGCTACTATTAATGTCTTGCCAAAGAGATGTAGTGCTTAGAATTGCTTTTTCTTCATTGGCGTAGACTTGTTTTAGCCATTAGATACAGCTTGAATATCACATTAGCAGTAATGACCTCCACCCTCTGTATTGACTGTTTTAAAACACAAAATAACCACAATTCTTTTCTCTGCCAGGTTCCAAAACCTGTCGATTATTCTGCACAGCTCTGGTAAGTGGCAGATAAAAAGAAGAGAGAGAGAGAGAGAGAAATGATGCTGTGTTCCAGAATGTGTTCTTCCACTGTGTTATCATCTGTATCGACTGTTCTCATCTTCATATTCAGAATGATTGATTGCAGTGTAAGTGCAGTAGTTGTTTATTGATGGTTCAGGTTTGCAGGGCCAATGGAGAGATACCAAGCAGAGGTGGAGCTCCTGAACAGAGAAAACAGCACATATCTAGTTCGACACAGGAGTAAAGAGTGCAACGAATACGCCATCAGTATAAAGTGAGTGACGTGACAGTTTTCTCTTTGCTTTCATACCAAGTCTTGTTCAATTCTCACCGCGGTTTATCATAAATGTTTTTAAAAAAATGAAATAAGCAACAATTTTATGAGCAAAATCACCTTATGAGACGTGAGACACGAGCAAGTGGCAATTTAAGAAGTGGCAGCATGAAAATATCCACTCTTTGCATCGATTTATCTGAAAATACAATATATAGCTCCATATTTGTACACCAGTGGTGTAGTCTACGTTTTTATAGTGGGTATACTGTGCTTAGAAACCAAAGTACACTGGTTAGTACAATGTGATTGTTAATTTGTTTTGATATTTAAGCGTATTGAACATTTAAAAAATTTTCTGATGCTTTTATTTGAATAAATGTACACCAAACTTTGTACCACAGTTGGCTTTGTATTCCAAACACGTTATAGAATTTATGAAACATTACCAAAGCAAAACATGTTCGAGTATTAAGTAGTAAGTACAGATGTATTAATTATACAAAAAATAGGTTGAACCAACTCAATGTGTCTATAGAATGTTCCAAATGTGTTGACAATGATTCATCATTGGCAATGATACATGACATGGGCTTGTGTCATTGGACACCTTTAAGTGGGTATACTGAAATTCCCAAGCTTTTCTAGTGGGTGTACTCCATATATCCACGTACCACATAGACTACACCACTGGTTTACACAAACCCTGAAGAAAGATGTTTATGTGATTTGTTTATTCTGGCAAGTTAATTCCCCAAAAAATAGCAATACGTTAATTATGTTGTAACTGTATAATTGAGAAAATCCTGTTAAGACACAC